GCATCATTTCTGGTAAGGGCATAATACTATCTTTTCATATCCAAGGTATGCCAAGCACTAAGTTAGTTGTTTCTGGAGCGGACAAGTGCAACAACAGGCTGCAAGTCCACAGAAAAATGCTGCAAGCAACGGCTGAGTGCTGTGCTCAGGGCAGCATGTGGTAGGATCATGCTGAGCATCCTGTCATGCCATGTACTGAGCAAGGAGAGCTGAAAAATGAGCTGGCTTTTCTGTGATAAAATCAGTAAGAAATCACGTAGCTGCAAACTATGCCAAGGCACGTGCTTGGGAGGCAAATTAGGCTCAGAAGTAACCTGGGCCTGGTGCCCTATTTTCACAAAACTTGGAAGAACTTCTTTGCCTTTGAGACCTCTCAGTCTTTTCGTCTCTCTAATCAGACCGATATCAGCCAACAGCTCATGCTGAACAGGTAATCTTTGGGACTGGACTTTCAGATGCTTTATGGGCTGTTTTTCCAAAACGTGGACAGAACGTGTCTTAATTAGGCACCTGCAAAGAGGCCATTTCCAAGTCTCGAGCTGTTGTGCTTTCCAGCTCCTGACCCTGAAAAGTCCTGGCTCCTGCTAGGCTGCCTGCTGGGCTGGACTGTGCCTGCTGGCAGCCGCAGCTCCAAGACGCCCCGCATGGTAGCTCTTCTAATCAGCAGCTGTTTTGCCACTGTTATCCGTGGGGCTAGTTGCACAGTAGATGCTGGGACAAGTGCCCATACCCGGAGATTTATTAAGGGATGAAGCAGTGCCACAGCATGAACCGGTGACACACCAAGCTAGCACCCTGGGCTCTGTGCAGGAGGATGCTAAATGCTAGCTTGCCGTGTTGTTGTGCTCTGTCCCAGCAGGAACGCAGCAACATCCTTTTGCATGGCCCAGATCTGCTCACACTGGGGGTTGAGAAATTCCGGGCTTTCTTTTCTGCTCCATAACACACAAATAAGCATGTGCCACTGCAAGTGATGCAGCATGTGGCACACATGACCGTGGGTCATAACTGATACTGTAGAGTAACCCAGGAGCAATAATTTTGTAAGAGGGGATTTCCCTCACCCCCCCCTGCCTCTGCTATCTGCTTTTAAAATATCTGAGTGAGGGAGTGGTGGCCCACTGGGGACTCCCCAACTGCTGCTCCCGCGCAGGGAGTTTGCTAGACATTGAAGCATGGGGTTGAGCTGAAGCGTTACTCAACCAGAAAAAAGTACTGATTGCTGTGCAAGTTGGTATTCAAATCTGACATTTCAGAGGCACATCTGAAAAGCCAAGGCAAAGGGAACAAGTTTGGTGATGCAGATTCCAAGAATAATCACCCCTGAAAGGGCTGCTGATACCTGTGCCCTTGCAAAAAAAAATTAAAATAAAATTATTGGTAGAATATTTTTTCCTTTTTTTCTGTTTGCTTGAAGTTGATGATTTGTACTTAGCAACTCATTTTTGGTCCACATGTTCCAAGTTACAAAAGATACCTCAGTCAAAAATTCATGCCTCAGCACAAAAGTGTACTTTCGATTTACATAATTTGTAGGATGGTGAAAAAAAATCTTAGTTTGTTCTCACATAGTAAAGCAGAGATTTCTGATAATAAATGGTCCTTCAGACATGTTTTTCAGAGATGTGATAGGGCTTTAAATATTTTGTGTACAATACAATCCCTCTATGTGTTCAGATCCCCCCCCTTTTTTTTTTTTTTTTTTTTGCTGAGAACTGATGGTGGAATATGGACGTTACTACTGAGAGGTATTTCAGTAGAAGGATGCACGCAAAACACTGATTTATCTACTGAAATATACAAAACGAAGAAGAAAAAGTGAGCTTGAATTATGAAAGCAGTGAGTTCAGCAACTGAAAAACTATTACTGAAATAGCATCCCTCCCAGGGGTACCACAGCTCTTTTTTTTTCTTTTTTTGCACAAGCACAGGTGTCTGGTCTGCTTCCTGACTGCTCGCTGCACTTGAGGCACTGTCCCAAGGCATCCGAGAACTGCGGGTTCGAGCAGAGCGGTGTTCCCAGCCAGGCTTTATCTCTGTATTTGGATGTGTATGAAGAAAATGGGGCTGTAGTGGGGGAGCTGTGGGAGTTGCTGCCCCCTCAGTGCCATTCTCACGGCATTTCTTAGACAATCTGCCCCGGATTTCTGTTTGCATTGAAGTCCATGGTAGATTTACTTCAGTAATTGGCTCAGGTGAAAAAATCACTTCTTTGTTATCAGGGCAAACCTCTGGGAAAATTAACCTTGTCTTGTAGGATGATTATCTGGGAAGTTGGCCTAGAAACAAGCTGTAGCCCTGCCGGATGGTGAAGGAGCTGAGCTCCGATGGCGTAAGGAAGGGGTGGCTCTCCCCAGCACCCGGGGCCACGCGACTGCATTTCCAGGATGAGATAAATGTGGAACTGAGTCCTTTGAGGCCTTTGGGACATGCAGGTCTGAACCCTGCGACTCCCCACCTCGTGTCTCTAGACTGAAGCTGCCAGGGGCTGAAACCGCATTCATGGAAAAATGCGGTTTTGTGGATGGTCCCCAAGCAATGTCTGCTAACAGTACAAGTAATTCTGTCCACATGCCTCTGTGGAAGGTGTCTTGATTTTAACAGAAGGTGCTGCCCTTCCTTTACCTTTTCTTAAGCTACCCTGCAGAGGTCAGGGGAGGAACTACTCTGACTCGGGCTTCCAGAGAGCAGGTAAGGAGAGGCCATGTTCTTACACTGTAGGTGACATTCTCGTGCCTGCTTCTGAGGCGTTCAGTGCTGGGTCCTGTATTTGCCTGGTTTTGGCTTTTTTCCACAGGACCTGCATTATCAAATAACATAGGAAGTGGGAAAGGCAAGCTGCTGTGAGTTGCTAGCAAAAGCACTTTTTGCTTTCTTTTCCCTCCTCTTATCTCTCTGCCCTTGAGGGTAGTGCAAAAACTGGACAGAGCTCTGAATACTTCCCACTTTCAGGACTACTTCAGTTTTGATTCTCACAAATCTAGCATAAGTGAAACTAGCTTTGACCCCTTACAACTGTGAAATTCAGCCTGATTCAAGTCCTGAGTTAATATGTGCTCAAGACAATATTAACCCAGCCAAAACTGAAACCTGTACTTAAGAGCTGTGTAACATGCAGAATCCAAAGCCAATTTACTGAAACATAAGTTTCAGTTGTGGTGAAAGCTAAATCTATGAGAGCTCTGACTGGCTATCGGAGTGATTCATTTGCTCCCCAGATAATTCAAAAATTGATCTGACAGCAGTGAGCAGTCAGTTTCTCCTCTATTAAGCATAATTTATGGCCTGCACCATCAGCATATTGTACCCTCTCAGGCAAACCCGAACTGGTCTGCGGGACAGATTAGCGTTGCCCGTTGTTGCTGGTGAGACCCTGTCCTGCAGACCCGTGGCGATGGATGACTAACAGGGTGCTGAACGTGGATGCTTGGCCTCCAGACTTACTCAAGGCCCAGGCATTGTAACAAGTAGCAAGCCTTTCTCTAGCCTTTATGTAAAAGTGATGTGAATTGTAAGCTCTCAGAAGCTTTAGACTAAGCTCAGTTTTCTACAAATGCCCTGGGTGACTTTTATTATTAAATCAGTTTTTTGTTTTGTATTTCCAAAAATAAGAAGGGGAGGGACACAATAGCAGGGTGATGAGTACATTTATTTCAGCAGACCGTGGTCTGGCATCTTCCAGGCAGGTGTCTGCAGCCAGAGCCAGCCCTGGCTGTTTCAGCCGGCTGCGCTAGCCTTGGCAGTAGCAATGGCAAAAGCATGTTACTGATGTTTTTTGTCTCTTCTATATGTCACCCAGTCATTTCTGTTCAGCCAAATACAAGTATCAGACCAGAGCATTGTGGTCTAACAGTAGCTTTGCAGTTATTAACACAACGTTGCCCGGAACGAGCTAATCTTTAGGCCGGAAGTGTTCAGTATAGGTGCTTATTGGGGAGGGGGAAAAAAAAACAAGCAGATCTTTTTTTTTTTTTTGGTACTGAAGTTTAGATGAGCACTAACGAAGCAGCTGCCCAGCTACTCCGCAGATTTTTTGTTATGGGGAAACCAAGCTTGTCGAAAGCATTTATGCGCCTCAAGCGGAAAGTTTCGTTCTCGTCCTCTGTGGTTTGGGTCCCCAGGTCGACACCGTGTACTCGTATACATAACGTGCGAGCAGGAATGCATGTCCTGTGTCTACCTGCTCTGCGGGGTTGGTCTTGGGAGCAGGGAGGGCTTTCGCACACGAGCTTAGCCCTCTCACTGGACCGTGCTCAGCCACCCAGCCCGTCCTGACCCTGCAAGAAGAGCGCTGGCTCCATGCTCTGTTGCAATGTGCAGTTATCGGTACAGACGTCTTGCCCATTGCTGCAGGGAGCAGTATCTGCTTGAGTGAGGGCCGTTCGAAGCAAATCTCTCCAATACAGACAGTTGCTCTATACAAAAAGGCCCGCTGAATATAGCTGATTATTTTAAAGCTATATCTTTGCAAGTTATTTTCTGGCTGAAGCTTTTAAGGGGATGGTGGTGATTTGGTATTTCATAAAAAAAAAAAAATCTAATTTGCGAACCAATAACAATACTAGCTATACCCAGTGTATTTTAAAATCTTTGGTCTGCTTTGGCTTATCTAGAAGTGCAGATATTGAGCCCTGATAATTCTGTACATGTTCTATTGTTCTATTGTGTGTGATTTTTTTTTAAAATTGCTATTTGTTCCAGGCAGATCCTGATAGCTGATGCCCTTTGCTGTGACTATCCATTTGAATTTTCAAGGTAAAGAACTTCAGCTTTGTTTTCCTAAAACAGCAACAAGCCTTTTCTGACCAGGAGCCTGCTGGCCATGAGCAGCACCCTCAGCACCATCTGAATAATGGGAATATGCATGGGCTTCAGCTGGAGATCCACAGGCCCAGTATAGAAAATCACTATGCTTGATAAGAGTTATTTTTGTTTATTCTTAGCTCTTTATTTTTGTCTTCTCTTCTCTGTCTCATGTCTCCTTTAGATTGCCCAGTTTCCAAGGCACAAACAGAGCCCAGTCTCCACTGGAGCCCTGCAGGACTACAGGAACGAGTAAAGCATGGCAATAGAAGGTAATAAAAATTATTATTGCAGCTCTAATTGCAAGAGAGAATAAAACTAAAAATTAGAACCAGGCATAGTAAAGAAATGTGAATTATGGAGGGAAGATGTGTATGGGGACTTTTAGTGGTTTTAAAAGTGGAAGTTATTTGTTTAAATAATTTTTCCTATTCAGTGATCACAGCTCTCTCCCTCAGAAAGATCTTTCAAGAAAGTTTCATTTCTCTGATGAATATTTGTCCTCTTTATCATCACTCAGACTTGCAGGCCACCTAGAACTCTTCTTGAAATCTTGACTATATTTAATCATTTTCTTTTTCTGTATGTTGGTGTAGCTATTTGTTTAGAGAAGCTCAATTACTAATATGTCAGATGCCCACATCAAAAGGATTCTGAAACCTCTTGAAAACTGAAAAAGCCTCATTGATTAAGCTAGCACTTAACCTTGTTGGCAGATTTGAGTCTTCAAAATGTATACATGTTTGAAGGCTGGTGCAAATCTCAGCATGGGTTTTGGGTTTTATATCACTCTTTAACAGGAAACTTTTGCTCATCCTCAGTGTCAAAGCAGTTCTTTTCAGGCACCTTTCCCCAATTTTTGCTGAAATAGCCCGTTTCCTTTATGCGGTGGGAAAAAGAGAGGGAGAGGAAAAAAAACCGTACCATCAAAATTCATGTCTGACTGTGAAATCTTGTTAAAAAGATTGCAAAAGTGTGACATTCACTCGAGAAGGGTGACTGCTAAACCTGCTGGAAAATTCCCAGAACGTTGCAGTTTTGGGGTGAAAATTTCACAAGATCACTTTGTTTCTCTGTCCAGCTCTGGAAGTTAGCAGAAGTTCATTGAACCTCCTAGATCTGGTCTGTAACATCACACAGAATTTATGCACGTGCTTACTTTGGAGCACGCTAGCAGTTCACTTGGACTCATTGCTTTTTGAACTTGCAGTTCCTACTCTAGAGCTTTGCAGGCAGAGGTACCTACAAATGTAGAGGTGGCTGTTGAAATCCAAGTAATGGATGGCTCATGAAAGCAAGCAGGAGTTGCTCTTTAGCTGTATATGACAGTAGGCTCTAAACCGTAAAGACCTGAAATATTCATTTCCCTTTGGGGAAGATGCCATTTATGATAACCAAAATATTACCTCACACTTTATCAAAACAGGAGAAGCAAGTATTTAACTTTCAACACCCCCCACACCACCCCCGGTGACTAAAGTAATGCTTTTCTGCAGAACAGATATGCCAATGTACAAGATTCTCCACCACGCTTCTCTCCTTCCTCAAAGGGGAAATCTTAGAGAAGAAAAGAAAAAAAAATCTTTTGCATTTTTTAACCTTTTGGGGTAAAATCCTGGCCTGGTGGGAGCGTTGCCATTGGTCAGTCATGCACATGACTGTAGTGTTTGCTCTGGGAAGATGGTTGCTGAGGCTGAGGCTGGCAGGGTTGTTTTCTGTTGCAGAGCCCTGCAGAGGAAGGAGCCGGGCTGTGGCTCTGCAGAGGATTTCCAGCCCTACCCAAGTGATGCCAGTGGGCTGGAGAGTGCTGGGGGTCACTGGCAGTGAAGGGGAAGAGCTGCTCCCATGAGATGCCGGGGGTCTACTGGCTCTTTTAGGGTCACAATTTTGGCCTGAGGAAGAATTTAGGTTCCACCGTTTTCAGGTCTATCCTTAAGCCTCTTTCCTAAACTTTCCCAGCCTGTTAGGAACGGGGCTGAGCAGGAAACAGGTCTTGGCAAGCCTCTTGCCCCTGCTGTGCTGGCCTGCGTCGGGGCCGACCCCCTTCTGCAGCTGTCTAGCGGTGCTCCCATCCTGCTGGGAGCAGGCAGAGCTGGGCAAGGCAGTGCAAGGACTGGGAGTTGTGGAGAAGAAATCCTGAAAATGGATTTGCCTGATGTTTTGCCCTGTTGGCTTTCGAAATCTTTCATCCTTGGTTGAATAAATGTTGTATTTCATGAAGTTTATCCATGCTTAGCCTGCAATCCTCTCAAAAGTAGAACTCATTGTTTGATTTTCAGCATTATTAAAGTGGTTATGGTTAGAAACGTGACTGAAAAGAGGGCACAGAATGTACCGCACCTATCAGCCGATAACTACTTGCCGAGTTTTTTCTGAGTCATTTGATGGGTTTACTGAGAAAAACAATTTTCTACTTCTGTCAGCAGCATTGCAGAGCTGTAGCTGAGTGAGCCGTATCTTTCCTTGAGCAGCGAGACTGGCATGTCTATTCTGATTACAGAACCTTGGTTTCTGTCAATAATGAATTGCACTCATTAGGGGAGAAAAGAAGCCTGCCAGATTTCTGAAGGCTGGGAGAAGGTCGCAGGCTGCAAGTCACAGCCGGGGAGCATGTTTCCATCTCTAACAGCAAACTGTGGCTGTGCAGGTGCTAATGGAAAGAATGACTACGCAGTGGATGGGTCTAATCTAGACACTGGTGTAAATCCACTGGTTTCTAGAGGGCTGTTCCAGATTAGCACTTGCTTAAATGAAACTAGACTCTGGATTTGATAGTTAGGTGACTGATTAACAATTACATCTCCAATTTTTAAGGCTCTGAGAACTATTTAGTAGTACAGTAGCAGTACTGATACAGGTAATATTTCACGGTAGTATGCAGCTATGATAAGTGTAAGGCGGTTTGACAATTTACATGGCGGCTAAATGAAACGAGCAATTGCCGAATGACTGTGCAAGCAACTATTCTTGTGCGTAAAAACCTAGTGGAAAACATTTTCTTCTACTTCTGGAAACAGAATTACATTCCTTTGGCAAGGAATGTACTTTTACTAGAAATCTAATGTTAACGTATGCATGTGGTCAGTCATTAACAGCATGATTCTCATTAAGAGCGGGACAATGTGAAAGTGTTTGGGATAAAACAACAGCTTTTGTAAATTTGAAGTGAATGCATATGCAGTTGGATCAATATTGGATCATACTGAATAGGTCTGCGGTAATTCAGCGTGATTGGCACGGACAGGACCTGGTTCTCCTGAAGAACCGTGTTAGTGTAAATGCTGGAGGAGGACCTGGATTTGCTGCTGAGTTTCCCAGACGTAAATGTCTTTCAGTGTGTGGGTGTTTAGCCTCCTGTTGTGTTCTGGTGCTCTCCAGGAATGTACTAGCTGTTTTGTTAGTCATTTCAACAAGTCATTCATCTGCATCAATCTAGTGTTTTCTGCTATTATTGAGGTATTTCTGTAACCATAGCAGTGATGCCACTTTTGCCGCCTTCGCGGTGATGCAAACGAGGCAGTCTGCTCGGCACAGTGATGCTGATAAGACATTAGTCACGGCAGGAGTCAGACCTACCTGAGAGAGACGACCTGGCTGGTAAGACGTGGGGGCATCGAGGCAGGCTTCTTGGAGGACGGCTTTCCTGAGAGATGACCTCACTTTTGAAGGGAAGGCGTTGCCAAAGCAGTGCTCACGGACTGATGTCAGTGGAAAAGAGATGCGGGAAAAACATGGGACTGACTCAGCGTTAGGGGGAAGTCGAGTCCCTGTTTCGGTAACGACACCTGTGCTGTGGAGCTACAGGCAGGCGCGAGCCTGGCCCAGGACGGGGGAAAGAAATCTCAGGTGTTCGTTCGTGTGCAAGACCGCACTTTTTTGCATTAATTATTCTGCTGCGTTTCTTTGTTTTCCGGGCAGTGCCACGAGCTCTGGCAACTATTTCCCGAGCTGGGCATGAGTGGAATAAGCCTGCCCAACTCTAGCCCAGGCCAGGAGAGGAGGCAGGGCCACGACAGGACCCCGCATCGCACCCTCAGCCCGGCTTCGCAGGCAGGGTCAGCGCAGGGCGCGAGGTGCTGGCCCCGGCTGCGAGAGCTGGCAGGTCCCCCAGCACCGCTCAGCCCCGTTTTGAGCCAGAGGCATATGCGGGGCACTGGTGGGTGCTGCCCTCTTGCAAAAAGGCTATGAAAAGTGCTCAGGATCAGACCTTGGGCCTTTTCTAATTGCATCTGTTGCAGATGTTAGATGGGAATATGCTGTTCACTACTGACTTTTCATTTGTGATTTTTCAGACCAGCTGGTTATACACAGGGCTTGTCCTCTTATTTTTTAATTTCCTAGGTAGCTAGCTAACAAACCACTATACTGGCTTTGCTTGTAATTCCCTGGATTATTTGGGCCATAACTACTTTTAGTTTGCCCTGTCACAATGTGCTTATTGTAAAGTTCCAAGGAAGGAGCCTTCCCCATCAGCCATGAGTAGCCTGGGAGGAATCCAGGAGGAAAGGATCACTTCCCCACAGCACAGCACAGCACATTGGTGAGGTCTGCTGTATGCAAAAGATGTAATTGTTCTGAGAGAGTGCCTCAGGGAGCCATTTCCCATTTTATTACCTGATCTTGCCATCTGTATTGTCATGCTACTGTGTTTCAGAAATCCCTATTTCCTTTTTTCCTCTTCCTTCCCAGAGTGTATGAGAAATGGCTTGCTATTGTCATGACGTTATTTTCATGTTGCTGCAGCTGGCATGTGGGTGAGAGCCTCTGTTACATGCACTGTGCATGTGGGGAACTTCTCTGGGCAGAAAGTCAAGTCGGGTGATTAGTTGCATTCAGGACTCAGTTCAATGCATGCTGAAATCCCTGGTAATTTGTCATCAGTGGGCATACTGGATCAGACCTGCTCTGAAAAGCAGGGACGGGATGTTCTCACCTCCCGGAGGTCCAACACTTGGCATAATCAAGCACCATCTTTGCACATATGCTTCAAAAACAAAAATGAAAACTATCTGGATTGTGTCTCCCAAAGTCTAACATGCTTATTCTCTTACTTGCCCTTTGAGGTAACAGTGATGCTGTTGTTGCTGCTCTACAAATGGTCAGTAAACAGACAGCGAGGCTAAGCGATGCACCCCAGATCATGCAGAAGTCTAACGGAGCAAGGTACTGAACCCTGGTAATATAACATTTCACTTCTACTCCCTTATTACACTGCCATCTTTCCTCCTGGGCCTGGATGGCAGTTTTTAAACCCATGACTGTTTCTTGCCTGTTGGCATTTGGCTGATCTGTCTCTTGAGCATCAATTCAGTCACTAAAAAGAAAAAAAATCCCTTCTTCTCATCTGCAATTTACATAATTAAGTAACAGCTTACTGCCTCTTCCCTCATTTCCTCATTGATGCTGGGTGTGGACCGAGGTTGCCTGGGAAAGCTGTTGGCACAGGTTGGCCCTTGGGTGCCTCTTCCTCCACTCCAAGTGAAAGTTTTGCTGCAATTACATGCAGAAGCTGGGAATTCAGGGAGGAGGGCACTGTACTAAAAGCTATGTGCTGCTGAGGATCACTCCAGCACCTCGGGAAGGGTGAATACAACCTACTGCAGATTTGGGCCTGCCTTGTGATTGTTTTCTTTTGCAGTGCTAAGATACAGGGATTGAGTTAGGCATTCATTTGGTGCATTGTGGTGATTTCAATGGTATGTGACTAGCCTGGGCATAAAAAGTATTTGCTTAGTCTTACTGTGATGATAGATATATTCTCAAGATTGAATTTAGGTATCAATAAATTACTCACCCAGCGAAATTTTAGGCAATAACTCTGACCCAAAGAGGTTCAGACACAAGCTGTACCAGCACTGCAAGAGGCATGCATTCAGGCTGCTGCTCTTGTCCAGTGCATGGTGGCTGGTTTGGAGGTTGTTTGTGGGATAGAAGGTCCTCCTTTGCCATGCCCATGTCCTCTAGTCCATCTAACTTTTTCTACTGGGAACGAGTAGTCCAAGAAGATTGTTTAACTGCTTATATTTTTCTTGCAGACCATACTTAGCTATTTCCAGAGGGATTACAGAAACAACCAAGCTAACCTTGGAGCCAAAAGCATGGTGCAGAGACATCCTAATTGTCTCCCTGTGAAACAGTCTGGCTCTTGGCACTGTCCTGCCATGTTCGCATGACAGCATGCCCCAGCTGGCAAACCCAGAAGAGTCTGGATCTGAAATGTCATTACGTTAACGTGTCTGTTGTGCTGAAGGACTGAACGTGTGTGGACCCCACTTTCTTCTCAGCAGCTAATACCTACAGCAGTGTAAGTGTAGGCTTTGCAGCAGCAGTCTCTGTAGGCAAAATTTCACTGCTGCCACAAGGCTGATAGACTTTTCCAGGTCTGAGTGAAATTTCTCTTCCTCTGCAAAATGATAACTTTGGACTGTGCCTAACGATCACCTAAATTACTCACACTCCTGAAAACTTAGTGACTTATTCCAGCCCTGAAGTGGGAGCTGTGGGTTTGCAAAACCCTGTCCTCTCGTATGTGAGCATTGCCAGGCTTTGAGTGCTGGCGAAGGGCAGCAGATAAGGGTCCACCCCTCTTAAGAAACAAGTGTGAGAGCAGGGTCTGCCGTGACCTGGTGGTGAAGGCCCCGCTGTGCCAGGACAGTGGTGCAGAAAGATCTTGCCAACTTTCTGAGTCACGCTGCTTCGACTAGAGCAGCCTACCATATTGCCAGAACTCCTCCCACCCTGGGATGGTCAGACCACTTGCTTTCTGTGCAATGATGCCGCTTGGCTTTCTCTGCAATGATGCCGCTTGGCTTCCTGCACCCCAGTGCTCAAGCAAGGAGTTGAGAAAGGCCCTTTTCCAGGAGGGGTTTGGCAGCACAGCTTCCATCATGGGGGCTAGGCCAAGGGTGGTGGAAGGGTGGATGCAATCACCGTCCCCAAGCTTGGCGCTGTGGGAGATGTAACCCCTATGATGGTCCCTCCTTTTGGTCGCGTCCTTCCTCCTGAATAAAGGATGATAAGGAAATGCCAAGATTTCCCGCCTCCATATGCTAGAGAAATACCTGTGGGTGAATGAGTTGGTCCTTTTCACTAGGTAATTAGTTCAGCAAATTACAAAGGGAAATATATGCTGGGAAAAGAGAGAAAAATCCCAAAAGTTAATCCGAGACTCATTTCCTCCCTATACCTGGATAAAAACATGTTCTTCGGAGCTCTTCAGGTCAGACGTCAAAGAGACAGGTGAATCTACCTCAGGGAAAAAGGTAAAATACAGATTTCGTCCTTCTGCTATATGTATTTGTACATAACTTGCTTGTACTGCTATAGTTGCATCTTTGCAAGATCTACTGCTTTCAGACCAGTTACCTTCAGTCCTGCTTTTTTTGAGTCAAGAGACTTTTAAATGCTAAATTTATCTGCATTTTTCTGCTGAAAATTTTGAGAAAAACTTTACTTCCATGCAAGATTTTACTGATATTTTCTTTCTTTTTTTCTTCTTTGAGATCTTCTATGCATTTTTGAAAATTTTTTTTTCTCTTGCACATGAGGAGGTGTAATGAATACTGAACTGTGTGTTCTAATGCATGTATACATATGCAACAAGTAATATTTAAAATGTGCATATATTCATAAATATCTCAATTGTTACTTAGCTTATAGCATATATGAACAAGCTGAATTGTCCAATGTATTTGTTACTGTGACATCAGCTATTCTTTTACATGTATGTATAACCTGTGGAGAGATGAATAATGTAAGCTCAGAAATCTTATGCTTACAAATCTTAATAAGAACTAATTGCTTTGGTTAACTTTTCTATGGTTTTTAGAGGAAAGACAGTGAGGAAATATTGTCCTTTCCTTGAACAGGTCTCCTAGCCAGCCAGCGCGTTTCACATCCCACAGCAGTATGAAGGGATCCCACTTTTTCCTCTGCCTCTTTTCTGTTATGTGCTGGTTGAATTTGATGCTAGCAAATGGGAACAAAATCTTCCACTTTGGACCTTGCAGGATTTCAATGAGTGTGAATGAAATTAGGTCTGGTTTCACTGCAATTAAAGCAAATATTGTAAGTATTGCTCTGTGCTCTTGTGGGAGTGGGAAAGCTCTTCTCTATACTGCTCCCGAAGCCTCTCAGAAGCCAGCACATGTAGAACCAAATCTACCTTTTCCTCTGTAGCAAGCCAGAGACCCCATCAGGACCGTGAGCATTTTGTCACACCCACAGTCTCTGCACAAGGTTAAGGTAGGTACCCTTACTGTGTCTCCCACTTTTCTCTAAATAGCTTTGACTGGCTAACTTCCAGTTATAAAGTGTACCAATTTGCAGCTTTTGTGGAAATTGTTCAACACTATGATTTTTTTCTAAGTTCCTATGAAATACAGACACTGACAAAATGAGCAGGTCAGGGAGGATAAAATGATGTGGATCACTTACATGAAAAGAGGTGGGCGTCCCTCTGCCAGTTCCTGCCCCTGTAACAGGCTTTAATGAGCAAAAGGTTTTCGTGCTGAGTGTGTTTCTCCAGAAATAGTGGGCAGAGCGTGCTTGTTGCAGGCGGTTGCTTACAGCAGCTTTAGCAGTGACTCTTTACCACGTCTGTCGGTGGAGGCACATCACGGTGAGTCAGGATTTGGATGGAAAACGATTAAGGAATCTAAAAGTAGGTAAACGTGAGCTCGGGAGGTGAAGGCAGGCAGCTTTGAGAAGCTGGGCACGTTGTCAGGATGAGGCAGGAACTCCAAGCCTTGAACAGCTGAGTTAAAGCATGTGGTAGGACCATCCTTAAGGAATAGGGAAGATCATACTCAACAAACTAAATTTTTGTAATTAAATTCTTCACTCTTACCTTTTTGCAGGATCCTAGTTGTGATTTTTCGGTTTGCTGAGAAAAATAAATATGTTTTTCACAGCTCTCCTATGCTCTATGCACTAACGTGGACAGTGCCCCAGGTTTCAGAGTCTTCTAATATCCAGCCACAAAATCAGCAGCTTATCTAGGTAACTAAATGAGACTTGCTGAGTGCTGATTTTCTGGAAAATCAATCTAAAATAATTGCCTATACGTATTATCAATATACATCAAGCAGAGCTGAAAGAGCTTTACACATGTCAAAAATACCACATCTAGTGGTAGAAGTGGCTTGTTCCAGTGGGGGACAAAGTGGCTAGAAGCTGAGGGGTTTTAGCACTTTGGAAGACCTTTAAAAACAAAATTTATTACTTAAGTCTTCAGATAAATGTTGCATCATCCGTCACCTCTTGAACTTCTACATGGACAAAGTCTTCAAACACTGCACGACCGAGGATTCTTACGTCAACCGAAAAATCAGCAGCATAGCCAACTCTTTCCTCAGCATCAAGAGGAAACTCACGCAGTGTGTAAGTCTGGATTATTCCTAAATTTTATTTACCTCTGCTTGTATGTAGTACATAAATAAAGCTAAGCATTTTATAAAGTTATGAAATCTTTATTTATAAAAATGGATACGTGGAAGCGTGATGTGAAAAGCAGAGTTCATACGTCCACTGAGAAGTTTTTATATTTGCCCCTTCATCAGCTAACTTGCATGTTAGCCCCCAAAACCAATATTTACAATGGCCCTTTCTCTATCAAAGTAAATTCTCAGCTGAAGTCTAGTTTAAGGAGTGCAGCCTTTTTTACAGTTAAACAAGGACTCAGACTGTACAGTACTTTCCAGCATAGTTAGAGAGCAATCTCTTGTTTTTAAAAATGAAACCTCTAATCTAATGAATTCTATTTTATTCTTCTAGCATGACCAAAACATGTGCAAGTGTGGACAGGAATCCACTGAGAAATTCAAGCAAATACTCACCAACTACGAAGGGGTAATTGATGACACTAAATCTATTAATTAATGCCGATACTCAGATTCACTTCAACATGGTTATCATTGCTATCATTACTCACAGCTTGTTTCTATATATCCATTTCAGCTGAATGTCACATCTGCAGCAATTAAATCCTTAGGCGAGCTGGATATCCTACTAGACTGGATGGAGAAGTCTCATTAGAGAGCAGACAGCGTTAACCACCCAGCAACGGGCTGGGTTTGTGAAGCTGCTCGAATGCGGTGGACACACCAGGGGTAGCTGTGAAAATAATGTAGTGTTTCAATGCTGTTTCTCGCTGTTTCTCGCTGATGTTTATCAAACACCAAGTGCTTTGCTAGCCAGATAAATCGTCAGGAACGCAGCGGTAGAGTCTTGCATTAAGACAGAAATACCAAGTTCAACCAAATCAGCATAGCACTCATCTTCTGTTAAAGGGCGCTCTCCAAGGGGAAATCTGGGAAGGTTTCTCCTGTGTTACTGGCGACATATGTTATGATAATTTAATAAAATTATTGTTTAAATTATAAACTCTTTGTACAGGGCTGTATATTCATGAGTACTGAATACCCAATGGATTCTGTTACGGTCTAGGTATTGCTACAGAGCAATGCTTATAAATCCAGGCTCAGTTTTAGGAGACTGCTGCCACTGAGCTGTTCTGGCTGGCAGAAGTGTACAGTGTGAGAAGTGCTTGCAAGAATAGGCCTTAACAGGGATTTCAAACCTTAGAAACCTGTATTTCCTTTTGAAATGGTGTTTTCTGCCTTATTAGTAAAAGAACCAGTTTTCTATGCAGGATATGTGATTGTTGAATAGGAAGAAAAAAAATCTTATGTGTACTATTACACTCTGTAGTACGCTTTGTGGAAATTGGTTGCTGTAAATAAACTCAGTTCAAAACTGTGAGCCTGTATTTGTCAAAATTCTGAGGAATAATTTGTTTCTTGTTGGTGAAGCTGAACAGAATTTAGCATGTGTCTTTTTGTAATAGATATAGTCACTACTGGTAATGGCAGTATTCAAATATAGAAAAAAGCCTTGAGATGCACTAAGTGCTAGTGACTTTTTTAAAAAAGCAATGTTATTTTTATTTATAAGAGTTTCCAGCAAACTGGAAGGCTAAGAACCCTTTGGTTTTTGTTTTGTTTGTTTGTTGTTGCTTTTTAAATGCAAGCTGACATGTTTGCATGTTTCTATGACCTCTATGAAATTTGCTCTTTCCTTTGGGCTCTTTTTCCCTCAGCTCACTGCATATGCATTGCTCGAGGCTGGATGCTCTCTGGTCTTAGTATTTCCAGCAATGAAGTTTTCCTGCTATATTAGTTAGACGTCAGGCTTGAGCGAGACTGGAGGGTAGATGCCTACCTTAGTCTGTTTTGCTCTAAGTCATTGTTTTCCAAAATCATCTAACCTGAGCAAGGTGTGTCAAAGCTCACATCAACCGTGGTGACGTGACTACAACCAGCTGGCCCTGCGCAGGGCCCGGAGCCTGTAGAAGGGCTCGGGGTGCTCTCTCCAGCTGCAAATAGCTCTTATTGCTGTTAAGATCATGTCACACACATCTCTTAGCGCCTCAGTGCCGCAGGACAGTCCAAGGCTCTCCTGCACTGAGAACAAGTTGATCGTCCCCCCTTTCCTGCCACTGTCACAGCCAAATCTCGGAGTCTGAGATGAGCTGAGAGCTGACACTTTCTCAGCTTGGGCAATTTCTAATGTTGCTGCAGAGGTGATTTCCAGGAGCAGCTCCTGGCCACACCAATGCAACAGGGAAGGCTTTAGGTGAAGAAGAGGCTTTTACAGGATTTTGTAATCTGCTCCCTGCTATTATGAAATGAGCTCCATCTATGCTCAGGATGGAGCTGGTTACTGCTGTGCTTTAAATCACCGTCCCAGGAGGGTCCTGCAGCAGCCCGATGATAAACAGCTGTGCAGGAGGAGGAGAAAGTCTGTCTGGTCCCATGAAAGGGCCGTGTCTGACCTGGCTGTGGTGAGCTCCTCGTCCCCATGGGCTTCACGCTGAGCGGGCTTTGCTTCCCTCCAGCTGTCTTCTCACCGTTAGGTCTCGGCGCTGCAATTTCCGTTTGCCCCGGTGCCAGGGCGTGAACGGCGACGACAGCCCTCCCTGTGCTGCGAGCGCTCATGACGGTCGCTCTTCCAACGCCGTCACCCCGGAGGGCAGACATTTAAGAGCGAGAGACACCTTGCATGTCCGTGGTCCTCTGTCAGTGGCAGTCTTCCCGCGGATGGCAGGGGCTCTGCATCGCACCTCAGGTGGAAGCACAGGATTATTCCCCACCCGCAGCCGATGGCTGGCACATTTTAGACCCCAAGCTCCCTTCCCTTTCTTCTCCTCCCTTCCCTGGTTCTTACAGGTTTCAACATTTTTGGTTGCAATATTTTTCTATCGCTATTTTAGTGCCAATATTTTCCTGTTATTATTATTTACCAGATTCAATCGATTTTTGTTTCCAGCATGGAGAGCTTCGTGCCTCAAAAATACACACGCTGTGCTGCTACCGCCTCAAGCAGTAAGCGGCGGGGGCTCAGTAGCTGACGCTTCCCCACCCGCTGCCGAAGAAACGCGCCGCGCGGGGGCACGCGCCAGCTTTGCAGTGAGACGCAGGGGCGAGCCGCCAGGGAGGGGGGG